TTTGGTTCTATCTCAGCCCTAGAGCGCACATTCCTGGTGTTGGACCGTTCTCTTTAAGGTCCTGCAAATCCCAACATGCACCAGGGAGCAAAGTTCTTGCTGCTCCAAGACCTACAGATCTTGTTACCTACTTTCTCACTATTTTTCTCAACTACTTGCAGACTCACCATTCAGGTGAAATTGTTATACCCAATGACCATTTCTCAGTCCTCGTCCTCTTGGAAGTCTGATTATTAGACAAAATCAGTTCAGATGAGACTCAACTGCCCTCTTTCTGGCCTTTGCCTTCCATGTCAATCATGCTAGAACCAGGAGAACCAGTTAGAACATCATTGTTATAATCTAGATCAAGGTCAACAAACTAAATGCAGCCCATTGTGTTTTTAAAAGTTTTATTGGAACACACATTAATTTGCATATTGTCCTTGGCTATTTTCTTGCTGTAACAGCAGAATTGAGTAGTTGTGACAAGATACTGTCTGTCCTGCAAAGCCTAAAATATTTAATAACTGGCCCTTTATAAAGTTTGCTGACCCCTTTCTAGATAATCTAGATCTAAATGAAACAATGTGTTCCAGTACAAATCAAGATAGTTAAGAAGATATCATTTGATGGAAATTAATGACTAATTGGAAGTGATACAGTTAGGAAACAAAATTTTTAGAATGACATCTAGAGATTACCAGTTGTGATGTGTGGGTAAATATGATGTGTTAACTAAGGGAGGTAACATGAAGCCAGAGAGTTTGGGTGAGGAGTTAATACAGAAAGAGAGGATTTGATCATGATTTTACTTAGAGCTATTTTATATTTGAAGGTACTTCAATATACCAAAAAAAGGATAATACATGTAACTTGTGAGCAGAAAAAAAATTGGGGCTGAACAGAAAATTCGGGAATGTTTGTGTTCCATAAAAAGAAGACATGGAACAGAAACTGCTCACAATTAGAAAGTTTCAGCACATCAATTTCTCCTTGCTATGGATTTAATTATCAGGTTTTTCTCACATTTCATCCTTCTTCCATGGTGATTTTTACCATGTACAGTTGACTCACATTATTCAGATTCCATATTTGCAAATTCACCTACTTGCTAAAATTTATTTGTAATCCCAAAATCAACATGCATGGTGCTTTCATGGTTATTTGCAGACATATTCACGGTGGTGAAAAATTTGAGTTGCCTGATAGTTGTTGAAGTTGAGGCTGAACAAGGTGACACTATGCTTATTTCAGCTCTCATACCATAAGACAAATGTCCTTTTTGCAGTCTATAGTGTCATGTTTTCTGCATTTTCCTGCTTTTTGTTGATTTTACTGTTTAAAAATAGCCCCAAAGCATAGTTTGAAGTGCTGTGTAGTTAGTGTTCCTAGACACAAGGCTATATGCCTTATGGAAAAAAAAAACAACCCATATTAGATAAACTTCATTCATGCATGCACTATCGTGCTGTTGGCCATGGGTTCAGTGTTAATGAATCAACTACATATTAAGTAAGGTGTCGTTAAAGAGAAACACACATAAAACAAGGTTATGCATTGATCAGTTCCCAAAATGTTACGAACAGCTTTCAGGAACCCAACTCTGCGTTTCCACTAGGAGCAGTGCTTCAGTCTTCGCTGTTTATGGGAACACATAACTACCATACATAATGGGAACTGGCTCTACTTTAGTGCACAACCAGGTTATACACTTCTTGAAGAATCTTTTATTCATCTTTTTTTTTAAAATTCAATTTATTTTAACAACAAAAAATAAACCCCAAAACGGCTCACCTATTTCTAGTGAGTAAGAATCCTTTATTGATCTTTATGCACTATGTAGTATGCTGCCACTCATGGACATCTTCTGAAAGTATCTATCATTAGGAAAGAATAGACTTTGTTTTCAAAGTTATGTGACTTTTACAACAAACAGGATCTAATAAACATATCTGTATTGGAAAGGAAGTTCAGAGATGACGTGGGTCAGAGGCTAGAACCTCCAGGCATGAAGATTTGCTTTTAACACATTTAGAAATACTTGGTAAAACAAAAGACAACCCCAAATGTAAAAAAGTGCTTTTTAATTTTTAACCAAAAGATCAAGTTGATGTAACAAGTTTGTTTGTTTTTTGTTTTTTTTACTGAAGTATTCATAATAATGTCATTCAATATGCGTTAAACAACATGATTATTCAATGCCAGCTAAGGTAGAGGGCAGCTGTAATTTGTGTGAAATTTACAATTAGTTTAAAGTTCTTTAAACTTTTATAAAATTATAAGACAACAATACCCCAAACTGGAAGTCAGATAACTTAATTTTAATACAATTTGAAATTAAAGTCCAATTTTATACAACAGTGAGTAAGTGTAAGTTTCCAAGTCAGGTATCCAACTGAAAATTCAAAAAATGTAAACAGTTATAAAATATCAATATTTGTAAATGCTGCTTAGAGCAAGGCTTTTCAATGTGTGGCTCATGAACTATTTGCGACCCATCCAAAATGAGAGGCCAGGTGAAAACCAATTATGTCACTAATCAGCTGGCTTTTTATAAGAAGACTTTCTTGATAAAGGAAACACTGTGTTGATTTACATTCTGGCACAGGTGCCTTATCTCATTACAGCTGAAGAACAGTTACTGCTTACGTTTTTAGTGTGCCATTATAATTTTATTACTCAGTTAACTTGACTGTAAGGAAAACAAAATTAAGATGACAATTGTAATTGTCATCTATACCTCTTCTATTTTTTAATCCCATCTACCTACGGATCCTATCCAAAAAGCAAATTAGACTTCATAAATCCATCAGTTATAATTAATCTTCAGGTGTGTTTAAGCGTTACTGACATAGATTCACCTCAGAGAAACTAAGATTCCTGTTTTAGTGAACTACATCATCTGCTTTTGATAGACATTTGTTTTCAGTCTTGAGAGAAAAATAAGACTTGAGTCACTTGTTAATAAGTTCTCTCTAAAGATTGGCTTACTTTATTTTCACATTTCTGTCAGTGAAAATGTTTAAATTCACTCTTTTGAAAAAACTGAACTTTTATACTGTTTGTGCAACCACTAGTTGCTTTTTTGAAGTAAGAATTGTTGGGAAAAAAGGTCTGAAAATGTACAACTCTGTGTATTTTATTAACTAAGGGGAAGAATATAAACTATGTTAACATTCCTAAGAGTGAAAGAAAGCTGGTCTGAAATATTTTTTAAGAGCTTATAATTCAAAATTCCAACGTCTTGATTTTTATTTTTTAGTATGGCACAATTCTTCTAGAAATTTAAAAATATGGTCTTTTGTAAAAGTAATCACTTCCTCTTTCTCCAATGACTTACTAAGATTACCTGCATTAGCTAATACTGAAGGCGAATAAATGGACAATCAACAATTTAGAAAAAAACTCATCAGTTTTACATTTAAAAGAGCCAAGTTTAGCTTCTACATTGGCTAGTTTATTGACCCAACAAACTATGTACATCTTAAAGGATTTAAATGTATATTTACATGTCATAAGACAATCGCTCCTTTGGCACCTGAGTTGAACACAATATAGTAGAGCCAAAAACCTCTAAGAGAAAGTTGTCTAAAGGCTGTATTTTATCTATCTGTACATATATACATATACTTATACATATATATACACATATGCACACACACACACACAAGTAGAAATCACTTTCCTTTAAGAAATGCTGGAGATATAAAACAAATTGACCATTTAACCAAATAAAGTTAATTGCTAGTTATTAAAGTTTTAAGTCATTTGGAATTTTACCAAATTTTGACAAGTTAAAGGTTTTAGAGTAACATATAATTCAAAGGTGAAAAATGCTTTTTTTGTCAAAATATGATTTCTTTTGATCATAGTAATATGGTCATGAGGTTACAATTACCTTAACATGACAATATAATGGACTTTTTTAAGTCACCAGGTGGAAAGTCAACTATTACCCCAAAAGGAGTAAATTTCCCCCCAAGACTGAAATAATCATGGCCACTGATCACTCTGCTGTTCTTAAACTCTTCTTGCAATAGTCCCAGCAAAAGGCCACTGAAGGCCACTCTGCAGGCGGCCTTCGGCTGAGCCTCACTCAATCACTAGGAATTTTACACAAGAAAAGAGCTTGATGCATCATGTTTTATGATCACATCCACCTTGCTAGACTCTGGCACTGTGTTAATAGTTGTACTGGTGCTGTGATTGTTTTTCTTCATACTTTTAGAACTCTGAATGACTGGATTGTATTCCAAGACTTAGAGGACATCTAAACTATTGTTGATTTGCCTGAGTCTGTCAGCATTTTCTTCTATATCAGTTAATAAATATGTTTGGCTGGGTAAAAACAGAGCGCAGTTTTACCTAAGTATCTTCTTCTCCAGAAATTCTGGAGGATACAAATGCTTTACACTTATATACCATATATTCTCCATCTGTGAGACCTTATGAAACCTGAAGGATGTAAAGGACATTTGAGTTAAATGATGGCATGCTACTCTTTTCTCTGCTCTAACTTGTACAGAATATTCCTAACCAGGTTTCTAGCTCCCTCATTGCTCTAGTTAAAGGACCTATCTCATTTAGCAAACCATATACAATGGAAATCTTATGTAGTTTCAAAATACTTGTGATTGAAAAATACTTTCAAATGTAAAATATCTCGTGAGCATCTATAAAATAGTACATATTCTTTGTTAAACTTGACAGTGTTAGCCTAACAAAATTTTGTCTCAATAGAGGTATGGTATAAGACTTACCCTGGAGAATCTATTAAATTCAAATGTCAGGAGGATAATAGAAGAGGGTAAAGGGGGTCAAATATATGGTGATGGAGAACTGACTCTGGGTGGTGAGCACACAATGGGATATATAGATGATGCATTACAAAATTGTACACTTGAAACCTATGTAATTTTACTAGCTGTTGTCACCCCAAATTTTAAGTAAAAAGAATTCAAATGTTTTCATTTTGCTGTTTATATTAACCATAACATAATCCAAATCATTATTTTTCCTGATATGTAAAACATTTTGATAAATCCATTGAACTTAAATTCTTCCAATAACATGTAAACTCACATGCACACTTTTATTTTTGGTCATGTGTTTAAATATTTTCCTCTCTGCATAGTTATCTCAGGATAGGAAATGACATTATGCTAGTAACTAGTAAATTAACATTAAAATAATACCCTAAATTCTTTTATGCAAAAATGCATTTATAACATAAACATTCCATATATTAAGCTACAAAACACAATCTCACACTGGAGTGGACTTGCAATTCCAAATTTAGTCCAAATGAGTCAAAGACAAAAGTGCTAACAGAGCAAATCTGAAACAAGTTCATGGGGATTGGGCAATGAGTCATCAAAGCGAAATCTTTTGGAAACCATGCTGCCATCCTCTGGGATATTCTCTTTGTCTTCTCGATCACAGGTTCCGTTACAAGAGGATTTAGAAGTCTTGTCTTCAGAGGATCTTACTGTATGATCTTGACTTTGAGAGGAACTGGAAGTTTCCTCAGGGTGAAATAAGTTTCCAAAGTCCAATTGCTGTAGCCACAAATGAGAAAGGCAGATCTCTGCTGTTGGTCTTTTCCTGGAAACAAAGCATCAAGGGAAAATTGAGAACTAAAAATCAAGTTGGAAATGTCTGCAGTTCAATATATTTTTTATTTATTATGAAAATAACACATACTCATAGTACAGAAGGGAATGATAATAGGAAAATGGAGTACCTAGAAATTTCTTTAATTCTGACATGTACTGAAAATTCAATTTATCATGGGGCTTACAGTTGAAACCAGTCAAAAAGCTTAAGAATATATGTTAGCTTCACAAATAAAAAATTAGTAAAATTATAAAGTCTCTTGGGTTTACAAACCATTTAAAGGAAGATATATGTAATTTATAATATCTATTATTATTTTGTGTTCTTACAAGCAATAACTGCTAAATATGAAAACAAAAGCTACCCTTCAATGATGTTTATCTAACATTTTGAGTTTTTAAATTTTGTATTATATTACGAAAGTAATATGAAATGGTCAAATATCACAATATTTCAAAAGGAAGGAAAACACCTATTTATACTTAGAACTCCAGCCTTCACACAACCAGCATTACCATTAGAACACGTTTCCTTAGTCTTTGTTTTTATGTTCATTTCTTTATTATAAAAAGTTAATGTACTTATTATAGAAATTTTAGAATCTAGGTAAAAAAATATTTAACACAATGAAAAGTGCTTATAATCAGAAACAAATAATATCATTACTATTTCTACTAAATAATCAATTATGTCTAAAATATAACCAGTGAGAGTTTGTTTGGACTTGCATTAGCCAATAAAATAATTAACAAACCTATGAGTTGTTTTTTTTCTTAAACAGATAAGGAAACTGTGTCCTCTAGGAGATTAAGTAACCATCAGAACTAAAAGACCTGACAAGTAACAAAAGCAGGAACTCAGCTCAAAGCACTACAACACAGCTCCCGCACTGAGAACAGCCAGGCCATTTTAAAGTAAACAGGGCTGATCCTGGTCAAGAACATGGAAGTCAGCATTTTCGTTTCCTGCTCAGAAATTGCCAATGAGTGAGGTATGAGTCCTAAACCATAGTTTCAAGTCCCTTCTTTAGAAGGAGGTCCAAGAGCATCAGATCCTTAACGAGCAGTAATTTGTACTTGTTACATAACTATAATTAATTATTCAACTATGAACCATTCACAACAGTCTTATAACCAGCCATGTGTATTGTAAACCTTCTAGTTCTAATTATTTTAGGAAATTTCAGGGATTAATAGTAGATTGAGTGAAAAATATCCAAATATGCTCTTCACTCCAAAATTTCCTGTTGCATATTTTATATTTTCTACATTTGAAGTTATGAATTTATATAACAATCTCTCATAACACCCCTCTCCCATTTTACCTGATAGCATACTTATAATTTTACACCATTTCAGAATGTATGTTTCTTCATAGGCATAGGTTATTTTGTAATAGTATTTAAACAAATTAATGTTATTACTTACTCTGGATTTTTTACTAAAAGGCTCTGGATAAAGTCTGTGGCCAGCTGTGAAACTGATGAAAAACCTTCTGAATAATCTACATTAACTTGAGAAATATTGAGGTATGTTTCTTGGTTATCTTCTCCCACAAATGGGGATGTATGAGTTACCAACATATAGGCTATTATTCCAATATTCCTGAAAAACAAAAAAGGGAGAAGAGGGGAATTTAAAATGTGTGTTAATCTTAAAACTTTTATATCAAGTAAAATTGACACTCAACATATTCCTGTCCTCAAAACCTATACAGTTAAACTATAGACTTAGATTGCTTTTCAAAGTTCCTATATTAGTAACACTAAAATAACTGTGTTACCTCAAAGTTTGCCTTGCAAAAAAAGAACATGAGGTGAATGCATATGTGTGTTACATAATTATAAACATAATGTATTAAATATATATCATTATACCTACAGTCTGCCCTTCACACAGACACTTGTTAGGAAGTACACAAATCTGCTCAGAAAGCAGCATTTCCCAAGTGGTGCCCAATGACATAGTAATGATCTGTGGGACATAAACAGGGGTTTTGTGCAAACAGGGTCTGAAAATTTGGCAAAGCGCTAGTTGGGCAGGCAGATTTTTGTTTTCACTGCACAACTTTTTAGAGCCTTAAGTTATGTTAATGACTAGTCCTCGGCTCAGGAGCCAGGAAAAGACAATACATAGAGTACATGTTTCACTACTTATTTAGCCCCAGGCCCCGTTCTCCCTGGCAAACCCATTTCAGTGCCATGGAACACAGGGAATAAGTCTCAATGCTTCCACTCGGCCTATGGAGTCAGAGCCCCACTGTGGTCCCAATAAAGGTCCATTATCAGCTCCAGTTCTACTCCCTGTGATCTTCTCTCTGTGCTGGCCACAAAAGCTCAACGATCTCTTAGTTTATGAGAGTGCACCTTCTATGATAATATTCTCATAAAACCCAACTATTGCGGGAACCTGACCTCATTTTTCTGCTTAGTAAACACCTTCCTAGTTCTTCCAGACCTAGATCTGGTGCTTGTCTGCTGCTTCCTCCAAGCTTATTAAGTGGCATTTTAATGCATCATAGAACATGTGGTACAGTACTGTGACTGTTTTGTTCTTTTACTAGACTGAGCCTTCCTCCAGGAAAGGGATTTGGGTATTTATTTCTGTACCTTTGGCTCCAAGCCAAAGTGTTACTTAGAAAGAATGGACAGGTAAATGTTTTCCTGTGGCATAATAATGACACTTGAATAAAATCTTTTCACTTGAATAAAATCTTTTCAAGAAAGCCTTATTATTTACATTACCCTAGACTATATATACTACCTAAATTTTAATAAAGACATTTAGGTAACTAACACAATCTTACCACATATCTGTTGCTGTGGTAATAGGATCATAGTTCAGGATTTCTGGAGCTGAAAGAGAAAATAAAATTCAAATTCAATATAGACAAACTTAAAAACATGAAAATTACTTTACATTAAATTAAAACCAGATTTAATTTTAAAGCACTACTAATATAAGATCGATAGAAATTTAACATCATATTAATAATGCTGTGATCAGACATTTAAACATATCCAATGTTGGGCAAATTATATAACCACATGATTCAAAAGCACCAATAATGTCCTTGGAGTGACCACCAGCTATATAGTTTCTTTTCTTTTTAATCATTAAGATAAATCTCAGAAAAAAATAGTTTTGAAGAAATAAAATGTCAGAAGAATCTTTTTAAAATTTTATTTTATTACTCTGTTAGGAATGAGTTTGCATTATTTCATTGATTGATTTAAGTTTTTCTTTTCAGGGTAGATAGAATCATATGCATTTACAATGACATTATGAGCAAATTATGCTTCTTGGAAGTATTCTAGATTTTCAAGTAGATTAAATATCTCTCTTAAATGATCAAAAACCTAATTTCCAAAGCAATTAATTTCCCACTGTCTCCTCCCCTGCCTGAATGTTTTAAAAAGTGCAAAATAAATTGCCTAAACATTACCATAAATTTCAAATTAATAAAGTCCAAACTAGGATTTATGCTTCAATAATAATTTTTTTTGTTTCACAGTGTGGTTTTATAATTTCTCGAAGAGAAATTATTTCCAAAGCCAAAAGTTTTGTTAATAAAGCCTTTGAGTCATTATACATTGTCAGCTGCCACTGTACCACTTACAACCTTTTCATATACTTTTGAGAGCTGTTTTATCTAGAATTACAATAATTTATTCTAGGACACTATAGCATCTATTAGTATTCAAAAGTTAGTAATTTGCTTTGTTTTTCATTTTGGGAGAGTCAGCTGCCTAGCTGAGGAGCAACTGTTCTGTTTAGCTGTATCTTTTCAATGCTTGTTTGGGGATATCAATATAAGCAACAACAAAAATGTATAAAACGATTATTACTTAAATTAAAAAACTTTAAATTATTATGTTACTTCAAAATCTTTCATCTGCATAATTTAATTTGTTGATTTAGTACAATATTCCTAGATTATCTGATCATAGGTTTTTTTGACACCCTTCTTCAAAATCCTTTTACAAACCTAGATAAAACCTCCTATTTTAAAGCAGCAGCAACAAATAACAAGGAGTCCCGCTAACAATTCCTGAAAACTAAAGATATCTGTATTATCAGCAGCTTTAGAGCTGGGACCGGGACAGAAACAGAAGTGATGTGTATCCAATAGCCCGGCCTCAAAGGCAATCACGGGCCGCTTGATTCTGTTTGTCCATGTTCTCCTGCTTCCTAACTTCCCTTTCACCCATTTTTCTTTATGCACAAAGCCTTTACACACAAATATTAAAATTTTAAATTTACATGTCCCACATCCTGTGAACTGTTGTTAATGTGTCGATGATCCTACATCCACTACAGTCCATTCAGGTGTGTCGTGACCGCATTTCAACGCACTAAAATACTTGAACCAAATATATATCCTGGAATTAAATGTTCTAAAATACAGTTTTATATAGGTGTCATTTAGTTAATACATTTCAAAATGAGGTAGAAAATAAGGGGAAATTCTTACCTAAGTATTCTGGAGTTCCCATGATTTCCCGAAGTTCGCATGCATTTCCTATTTTTCGAGACATTCCAAAATCTACAATTTTTATGTCCCCAAGAGGGTATATGCTGCTCAATAATATATTCTGTGGCTAAAAAAGCACAACAAAAAGAAAATGATCAGTAATATACAACAATAAAAGAATACTGGTCTCAGATCAGTGGTAAATTAAGTGAAACTTATTGCTTGGTTATATATTTCACTGAGTCATTCATTAAACATTTACTAAACTATGTAGGAGGAACTATACATTCAGTGATAAATAAAGCAAAAAAAAATACTCTAAAAGGATTCTTGATTTGTAGGGAAAAGATGGATACATAGGTAAACTGATTATGAGATATAGAATACTTGGTAGTAAAGACTAATTAATTCTGCCCAAAAGAAAATCCAAGAAGGCATTGCAGTAGAGATTATGCTTAAGCGGAATCTTAAAGGATAAATAGGAGCATGCCAGTTAGAAAGGTGCTATGGGCAACAGCATGCAAGAAGGCAGGAGGGAACAAAAATGCATATATTTTCAGAAACAGAAAATGGCTTAGCACAGAGTGATGATTCTGGGTCTGACTGTTCCCAGGTTTGTAGCTTAGACAGTGAGATGCATGGTATGATGGTGTACAGATGGGAGATTGTACAGGAAGAGAAGAGTCCAATGTTCAAAAGTTAAGACACAGTTTGATTCAGATTTTAAGGTCTTTGAGTGGCTGTGGAGGAAGGATAAGGAGAAAGGATAATAACGTGAGAGGCTGAAGTGGTATCAGGAATTGGGAAAGGAGCATCGATGGTCTGGGGGGAGAAAAGGAGGAGCCAAAAGACCGAAAGCCTGAAGAGAAAGATGACTGATGGGAGCAAAAGAGTGAGGACTAGAAGGTTATCTTCAGAGATAGAGGTTGGAATTGAATACATTAGAGGAAGACTGTTTATAAGATGCGAAGATCCAGGATGTGAGAGTGGGATGGAGTGGAATGATTAAAGGCTTAGAACTCCGAGAAATGAGTTTTGAAGAGCCCCGTGATTAATGTGAGCTGCTCACACGGGCAGTCCTCTCCTCTCTGCCAGGACAAAATGAAGTCCACGCAGCACAAGAGCACACCCAGAGTGGCCGAGGCCAGAATGGGCTCACTGCTATTTCCTACCAGTACCGGCCTGCAATCATACGACCAAGAGCAGAGAAGGAACAGAGGTGCAGTGGTACTTAAAATCACATGCTACATTCATTACCTTTAAATCAAGGTGCACAATGTTATTCTGATGTAGATAATCAACTCCTTCAAGTATTTGTTTAATGAGTCTGATAATGTCATTTTCAGAAACCATTTCAGCCAGCTCAGGTAAACACAAGTTGAAAATTTCTCCACCTTCAGCACTGAAATAAAGTTCAAATAATAGGAAGTTGAAAAACCACTGACCTAAAAATGACACTTTTAAATACTGTGTAGCTGTTAAGTAAAAGACACACAACCATATAAACTTTAGTCTCTATATATACACATTTAAGGAGTAAAGGGAGAGAATGAGCAGAATCTTTAAGGAATAAACTAAATGACAACAATATTTCAAATTCTGGGTACTAATACTTGAATATTTAATAAATTGAATTTCTTCATAATTCAGTAACACTGCAATAAAAACAATAGCTAACACTATGAGCTCAGCTCTGCGCCTCCATTTTATTCATTTATATTTGGATATAAATATCATCTATTTTGATCCTTATGACAACCATATGGTAGGTGGTAATTATTCCCATTTTGCAGGTGAAAAAACAAGTACAAAGAAGATAAGCAATGTATACAGGCTGCATAGTAAAGCACAGGGCCAGGATCTGAATCTATACCCTATGCGCGAGAATCTGCATTCTTTTTTTTTTTTTTTTAAAGATTTTATTAGGGAATTGGGCGAGGGGACCAGCTAAGTTGTTGTTCTTCAATCTTAGTTGCAGGTGGGCGTAGCCACCATTCCATGTGGGAGTCGAACCAGCAGCCTTGTTAAGAGCGCCCTATCAACTGAACCATCTGTGCGGCAGCTCAGCTCAAGGTGCTGAGTTCAGTCTTACTTGTGGGTGGGCGTAGCGCACCATCAAACAGGCAATCTTGTTGTTACACCAGCTGAGCCATCCTGCCACCTGTTGGCAGCTCAGCGACAGCTCAGTTTGAGCACAGTGTCACTGGCCCATGTGGGAATCGAACCAGCGGCCCTGTTGCTCAGCACTCACACTCTTAAGCCAACTCTTAACCAACTGAGCCACTCAGCCAGCCCGAGAATCTGTATTCTTAACCAATATTCTGTTCTGCAGCTTCACAAAAAATATTTGGAGCCAGAACCCAAATCTCTCTCTCTTTTTTTTTTTTTAGAATTGAAAATCTAAAGAATGTTGACAAAGGCACAGTGAAAAATCCCTAGGTTTAGAATCAAATGATCTAAATTTAAATCCTAAATCTGCTATTTACCAGCAATATAACAAGGTCAGTCACTTATTTGAACTTTTCTGATTGTAAAAGAGAAATATCTTTTGAGTACTATATCTAAATAAATAATATAAAGTTTGTCAGTTAGACATCTTGTCCCCCTAAAAAAAAAAATCTAGATGGTTATTCAAATTTATAAGGTATGTTTGGTAATAGCTCAGATAAAGCATATTCTATGTAATAAAATAGGAACTCATTCACTCTAGAAAACACTATTTTATAAATTCCTCTGGTTCATTGCTATGTCCACAGTATTGAGAACAGTGTCTGGCATGTTGAAGGTGTTCAGTGTTTGTTAAATGAATGAGTGACGGAATAGGCAGTCATTCTTCAGAGCATCTCAAACTGAAATTCAGAAGTCTCAGTGATTGCTGAGAGGAAGAAGCATGTCATTATGTATGAGGAACCATGAGAAGAAAAAATAAGCAATGGGGATCATAAATTTCAGTCTCACATTGAAAGTCACAGGACTGACCCTTCATATCGCTTATGTAACTTGCAATCAAGTCATCTGTACAGAATATGCCAGTTAAAGGCTGAAGGGGTTTGCTGTTTTACACTTTGTTTATGATATTCCAGAGAAAACTGTGGGACAGTTGGTAAGGAACACGTGTGACAGCTCTGATCATGTATACTTCACACTTCAATTCCTCCAAACCTCTGCATCTCCCAAAAAATTCATGGCAAATTAACTTTGTCTCAAGGTATCATGGTAAAGGCAATCTGAGTATGAAAAATTTAGTTTGCTATAAAATTTATAGTAATACCTCCAAAGTAAGGTAGAGGAAGACAACATTACACAGTCACATTCATCTAAAAAATATATTAATTAATCTTTATGAATAGTTAATATACAGATTACCCCTGGTGGCCCCTTGGTCTACCTGTCAGATGTTCACTTGTCACAACCTCGTTCAAGGCTCCCTGAGGGAAAAGGAGCTCTACAGGCCAGGGTGCCGATGACACCCTCACGCCTTTCCTTTCTGGTTACATTACTTAGTTTTAACAAAAGAATCCTCTCAAAACACAAAGTGGTCCGCCAGACTAAACTGCTTGTGATTATGACTTTGTTCTTGTGTTTTCAGTTTCCTATTATATGCACATGTTAACTTTTAAAAAATAAATGTCATTTTAAAAACCTAAAAAAAAAAAAAACAAAAAACCACAAAGTGGTCCAAAGAGATTCCTTCAAAGACACTGCAGATAATTAGTACTAATGCAATTGTATGCAAATTAGAAAACGAAGAGATTGATACGTTAGATTCTGTTAAAATGAGTTCTTTGCTAAGCACTTTACAAGACATAGCTAATAAAAATTCAGATCCAATAACTTGAGACTATAACTATATAAAATATGGATTTGTATTCACTGTTTAAATATAGAAAATACTGGAAAGATCTAAATTCTTCATATATATAGAAAGAGATTTTGCTGAGCTGAGAAATTCATTCTTGAACACTACAAAAATTTAGGTACCAACATTTTACATTACATTCACTAGAGTTACCTCAGTAGCCCAGACCCTGCACTAATTTAAAATTTGAAATAAAACAGAAGAAAACAAACTGAGAAGTAGTATGTAAAGGACTTCCCAGTGCATAGGCATTGAGAGGGAGGAGAGCAGGTGGCTTATGGGGTACCTACTGAAATCAAGACTGTACACAGTGTTTATTCTTTTTTTTTTTTTTTTAGCTGAGCCATCCTGCTACCTGTTGGCAGCTCAGCTCAGGCTGGGACTCGAACTGCTGTTGCTCAGAGCTCAAACTCTTGAGCGAGCTCTTACCCAACTGAACCACTCGGCTGGCCCTACAGTGTTTATTCTTAAGTGAACCACTTGTTAGTTTAACATTTTACAAAATAAGCAGTTTCATTTACAAGTTGATTCTAGGCAATCAACTTTCCTGGTACAAAAACATACTGATTTCTTATAATATATAAACACACCTCTTTATCCTTAAGAAAACTGAATACTAAAATTAGGTAAATATACTCTCAAATTGAAAAAAGCAATGATGCAGATTACCCATAAAAAGGGTTACAAAGAATTGTAAAGAATTATGCATTTTTCTAAAACAAATACTTATTTCTTTATTACAAAATATTTATTTAATAAAAAGTATCAGAACCTAAAGCATACTAAACATAAATTTAGCTAATCTCTTCCAATTGTTGCAGATATTCAAATACATATTTTACATACTTGTAATAAATATGTCAGACCGTCATGCAATACCTATTTTAGGGTTACATGTCAATACTTTGGTTAACAAATGAGTTAGCTTAACCATGTTCTACCCCCACTGGATGAATATTTGGGTGTTTGCAACTTTTCACTGACTTGTAGGAAGAGATATATTTTACTTGTTATTGCTATAATTCCTAACATGGTGTTCTGCACATCACACCTATTAAGTGTAAATAAATGTGTTTCTTTAACGAATGAGCTAGGCCCACCTTAATGCAAGTTTACCTTTCTATTCTCCTTGGGTCATTTCCTTGGATCGGTTTTTCAAATAGATGGGCAAAATATTTAAGTGATTTCATTCTATTTGCCCATCACATTGTTCTAAAAATATAAAATGCATCAAATTCCTGTGCCATCAGCAAAGTATTCTCATATCACCACATTCCCCAAACACTGTGTTGTCATTTGTACAGTCTGTGCTCTTTAATTAATTTTAGTATATGTGGGGCAGTACATTTAGACTTGTGAAAATATCTGGATATAAACTATTTCCCTCTAATATTTTACCAACAGGAGTCTTTAGCAATTTTTGTCATCCTTCTGTCATCCTTATTCTTGACGTTTCAAGTCACCTATCACTCTCATCAATTAAAATGGGTACCATAAGTTTGCTTAAATTTATGAAATTGCATACTTACTATTCCAATACCAAAATGATTTCACTTGTATTTTCATAGACTTCATGAAGATTAATCACACGGGGACAGGACTTCGCCAATTCCAGTACAGCAATCTCATGCAGAATCTCTGCTCGACAATCCTGTCCTCTTCTTCTCTTTTTTAGAAATTTTGCAGCATACCCTTGACCATTGTATTTTGATATACACTGTCTAACCACAGCAAATTTTCCTCTGGGGAGAAAAACGAGAACAGTTTTAACTTTCCCATAAAGAACAATATTAGCATAACGCAAATATTGGTATACCTCCAACTTAAAGTCAATCCTTTCAAAAAAAATCATGCCAAGGAATTTATCATTGTTCTCTTAACTGCTCCATGTACTTTTATAAAATTTATAGTACTATCACATAAAAGTGAAAATGGCAAATGTAATAACAGGGTAAGACAGAATGATATTTGTTGTTCACTATTAATATAATACATTATCATTGTAGGGGGAGATCTCATTTGCATGCCAACTCCATGCTATACTCTTAATACAAATTATTGTGTTTAAGTATCACAACAATCCTATGTAGTAAATGGTATTCTGTTTTGCAGATCCCAGAGAGGATATCTATCTTGGTGTATTTCCAAAGACCATACCCTTAATAGGGCAACACATTAACTCTCTAATCAAACTAGCTTTTCCTCAAATACAAAAAATTAAAATGAACACAAAAATGGGTATTTGACATTTTAGTTTATTAGTATAATCACTTTGCCTTTCAACACCTTTGAACAAGCTTTGAAGCTTTCTATCATAATTTGTCAGTTGTTTTACCAGCAAATCCCTTACTATAGCTCAGTAGTCTATAAAGCCTGTGATACATATCAAAGGTATATCCATACTATGGAGGGTATCTAAGGACACTTCACCAGCAACTAAGAAAATTAATGGTCATCAATAGCTATGTACAAACATACCCATTACAACCATGTTTATCACTGTAGGAATAAGTATGTGTTTAACTTTCTCCAACACAAGTGCCCAGCATCTCAGCCAACTTTAAAGATACTGGCAAATGTGTGTATTCTCAGCCTATAGTCATCCAAAATCTAGTTTCCCAAAGACCTAAAGCTATTTTCAGTAATACTATTTTAAGAAATTAATAAAAGCTATTGACTGCCTACTCAGAAAAATGTACACATGCCCTGCAAGAGAAAGTTTTACATACAAGTCCAGAGCTTTTTAAAGTCTTGAAGCCTGTTCGTAACTCTTCTAAGCCTGAGTTCAGGGTCCAAAATTAAAAATCTCTATCTTAAGGCTCAAACTACTCTCTAAATACTAACAAACCAGGTATAAATAAAGGATCTTCAGAGAGTAACTTTTGTTCCACAACTCCTCTTGCCCCAATTTCCCTTAGGATATACTTCTAACATAGTATATCAGGTGCTTAGCAAGGAAAATGACGTTTAATACATTTGGAATTTGGATTTGGGGTGGGGGGCAAAATAGATTATATTTTACAGGCTATTCTCAAGGACCAGGGTGACAAAGATTCCTACTCTTTATTCCCCAAATTTCCTCCAAATTGGTACCAATGAAATACACTGGAAATTAAGCTGAAAAAGTATAGCTACTAATTCCAAAAAGAAAAAAAAAAGTGACCAAGCTGTAATCTGACTGTTCTACATTTATCAAAATATACATCGACTCAATAAATTTGCACGCACAAATCTCATTCTTTGAAAGAACTTTTCATTTATGATTTGAAGATGTTTAATTTTAACTACATATTTTCTTACTGCATGCAAAAGGAACATAAATTGATATTTTTCAAGCTTTCTGTTCTAAGCCCTACACAATGACTCCTCCCTTTAAGATAGTTTTTTAAGATACATTTTTTAAGACGTGCAACTTACTTATTTCTAACAATTCTTAAGATTTAGAAGCAAAAATCTGTCTAAAAGAAAAATGAAATTTTGAGTTTAATGAAGAAATCTACCTTGAAACTTAGGAAACAGAAACTAGTTAGCCAAGACCATTATCCATATAATCTGTAACACCAATTGTGACAATTTAGTTCGGCTGTAATTTTATTGGCTATATCCTCAAACCAGAATTTTCCCGAAACAAAGAGCAAAATTAAATAATAACACTTTTTATCTAATTGTTTCAGGTATTCTAAAGACCTTTTCTTAAACTATACAGTTCTCATTAATCCAGGGTAAAGGTGACTAAATGATATTGGTAATTATTTATTTGTCAGTGTTCACCACTAAGTAAAAGCCCATGAACACAGAGATCCTATGTGTCCTAACGGTAATTATAAAATCTACACTTTGCTAACGAACATAATAAAAACTGAAGTATCTGTTGAATGAATGCTAGTTATGCACCTACTATATATAATACATATATTGTGCTATTTTGAATCCTGTACTTAATAGCATTTATATTTTTAAACTTTATTTGAGATTCCAATAAAACTTTACATATATATTCATTTATATACTATTAAATAAGGTAAATCTTTTTACCATAATTATCAGATGACTTAGGAGAAAAAACAAGTACTTGATTTCTATTCTAAACTACTAATTGTGGTTCAGAAGTAACAAAAATGAACTTCAATACATAATGTTCCTATATCAAATATAACAGAAACATTTAAGAAAACTTAAAGCCCTTAACAATAATTAATTCATGCCCTAAAAAGGCGAAGCTGACTAGATTTCCCAGCAGTGAAAAGGTCTAGTAGTTCCCTTCTACATTCTAGAATAGACAATAAAATGTGAAAGGAGGGGGGAGGGTAAGCCACAAAGGAAGCTGACGTTTATTTCTGCATCTGCCTCACCCTTCTGACCACAGAAGGCCTATGAAACCTTGCCTCGTTGGGGGAAGAGTATAAAAAACTTACCCAACATGTTAAAAAACAGGAACAATGCAAAGAGTTTTGAGAATACCAAAAATGAGCTGTAAACTTTCACATGTTTTTTCAGTTTGCTAAAGCTAAATAAATTCTAAAACACTAACATTGTAAAATTAATAAAAAGCAACTGATTTAGAAAGATAACTTTGTGGTTCATATGCTAGAATTATACATTTATACACTTCAAAATGTCCAAGATTAAGATCCTAATTTCCATTTCACAAAAGTATAGAATATTAAAATTGGTAACAATATTGAAAGAACTCAAAGCAAGTCCTTGGCAGATGAAAGATCATGATTTCTAATTTATCATGGTTTATAAATTAGATATGTCAATATTTACCATGTGACTCATTAGCCCATGTCAATTAAAAGAAAAATATTAGGTCTCTTCTATAAAGATGTTAGAAGATGGGATATTAGAAATCTGAATTTGCTTTAATCAGATTATGTCAAGGGTTTTTGCTCTAAAATGTTAAAAAGTATATCTGATTCAAGTGAAGATTGTTATTTATGATGGCACCTCATTTGTAAAACAATTTAGAATTATTAATATTGTCCTCAAAGTTTAATTTCTCCAAAACCCTCAAAGAAAAAAATATTTTATAGACTTTCTAAATCCCATGATATCCCTTATTTTACAAAGTTAATTTAATAATTATGTGTACATTGATTCATCAAAATAGTAACTTAGAAAAACAGAAAAGAATGTCCTCTATTGTGTGTACTGTTCGAGGCACGTTCAGTTGCCTGCTCAAAGCAGTTTCCAAACATTTTTGCAAAAGAAGGAAACTTGGAGACATCTAGTCCACCCTTTCATCTTAAAGAAAAGGAAATCATACAACTTTAGACAACTTTAGATTCAGAGTAAAGATAGGTCAACTGACTTCCAGCTTAATCTGTTTTCAGTAATGTACTAAAAGATGCCATATGACACATATTTGAAAAGGTTGTTGAAAAAAAAGAAAGAAAACTAATGGAACCTTAGGCTACCTCAATAGTTTTGTTGTATTGTAGGCAGTAAGATATTAACAATACTGTGTCCATTCTAGGCCTCCTCCTTTTAAGACTTACAATGAAAAATACTGACACTGAAAAATGGTTCAGAAGAGGGTCACCGGACCAAGGAAGACTATCTGTAAATCAGGCCTTAAGATGTGCATTTAAGAAAACTGGAAACGTTTAGCACTATTCAAATATCTGAAGGATTTTCACATGCATATCATATGCAGCTATAAAAAGAGAAACTTGTCTATTGGGTAGATGTGAACAGAGTAGAAAACAACCTTCTGTGCTAAGAGGTGCCCACAAAATGGAACAGACACATTCTAAGGCGGTGAGTTCCCCATCACTGAAGCATTCAAGTTGAGGCTGGAAAATTATAGGAAAGACTGCTACGCCCCATAAGAATTATATTAGAAAGAACACTGACCGCCAAAGTCCTTCCAATGCAAAGATTCTATGACTATTCCATGTGAGATATAGGCAACTAAAAGAAAACTTATGCTTTCCTGTTATAATGCAAAGCAAAATATTTACAGATTTAGAACTATTTCTTAAAAACATTCTGAAAAGTTTTTAAAACTATCTTTTAATAGACTACTAAAACTCCCAAATATTTTGCACATATAATTAAATAAATATGCCAGGCATTATGAAACGTGCTTTCACATTTAGTTCTTAGTCTGATGAGGTAGATATTATCCTTATTTTGCAAGAGAAAGATTGCATCCAACATTTATCAAGTGAAAAAGCCAAGACTTCCCTTTACGCTCCACATAAAAGACCTCCAAGAACAGAATTACTTTTTGTGCTGCAGTTGATTTTTGTTTTCACATTGAGATTTTCAAGGATAAAAATCAATCACACTATTTTACTGTACATTTATCAATACAAACAGACTTAGCAAACCAGTTTAGCACAAGCCAAAATATTTGCCTCCAGAACTAAAATCTAACTGACGACAGAAACTGATCACCATCTCCCAACCCTTTGGTAAGTGTCTTTAACTTAAGGATTCTGAATATATAACTAGGTATATCTTTTATAACTTCCATATATATATTAAAATGGTAGTGCTAAATGGTCTCATAACCTTAAGTTACCCCTTGGACTTAAGTAATTTACACCTTGGTTAAGTCAAAACACATTAGTACATTAGTGCAAGTTTTACCTATAGAACATACATTCTTTGTCATACAAAATTATACTGTCAAATGTGAGTTAATTCTTTTTAATTTAGGAAAGAAGAGAATCTCCACATTTATTTTTTTAGCCCAGCACAATATTTGAAGATTTTTTTTTATTCAACAAAAATTTATATAGCACTAAGTACTTAACAAATATTAATTTAATCCTCACAACAATCATATGAGATAGATACAATTATCTTCATTCCCATTTCTCAGATAAAGAAACTACAGCTCCAAGAGGTATAGTAATTTAATTGAGGTCTCAGAGCTTGTTGGCAGTTTGCTATGCTAAACGGCCTCTTCCCATGCACAGGCTCAAATAAGAGCCCTGACCTTCTGTCAGGGGGCTCTGAAGCTAGGTGGGAAATAGCATATAAGCTCACTAACCCTCCACACATGTGATTTCCAAATCAGTTAGGTCTAGACCCTGTATAATAACAACAGAAGAGATGATGAGTTTTATATAACTATAGACACACAAGTCCAAAATATGAATTTAAGCAGCATATGCATCATAAAGTTTCCTTACCTTCCTAGTTCTTTAGATGTAAGTGTATAAAAATTATTAAAGTTTTCCATTTTTATTGGAGTTTGTGGACTTGTAGTTAGCAAGCCCGAAATACTTCGGCAATCAAATCTTCTCCTCGACATGTTAGATGACTTCTAAATTCGCTTCTTTAGTCACTTATTTTTACCTATTGAAAAAAAGAGAAGATACAAGATGTAACTTAAATGCAATTAAGAAAAAAATGTTAGACAGGATGTGCATTACATTACACAGCTCCAAATATAGCAATAAGATACAACCAAAAAGAAGATTTAAAGAGCAGCTTCATTCTACCCACAAGGGAAAAAAAAAAAAAGCACACACATAAACTGGTATCACCTCTACGGCACTTGAACTAAATTACTGACTTCTTTTCAGAATAAAACTACTACGAAAAACGTGTAAGACCGCCAAAATTCTTAAAAAAAAAATTATAATAAAATTTTCATACAAGAAATCACTCAATTTCATTTAAAAACTCTCATTCTTTAAAGTTGCATCTTCATAAAGCAAGATAATTAACACAGCAAGGTAAAGATTATTTGTTTTAAATTTAATTTTACATAGCCAAACAAGTTTGATGGTGAATTCACCTTTTGTGAGTTATACTACTGTCATCTGAATAACTACAAGAAATAGAATTTGTTTCACAGACTATCTACATTTCATTACTAAATTCAGAAACTTTCTTCGAGTTTCTTTCCTTGGCAGAACCCAGCACAGAGTCTGCTATGTACGAAGAGTTCTATAATTTGTTGGTTGAGTTACTGATCATACAGAAAGCCTTATTCTGGAGTCCTGATCTATATTTATTTGAAGCTCATATTTATCTAGAACTTTATATTTACATATATTCCATTTTAACATCAAAACTACAATTTAATATTAACAGAATCCATATAATAATATCAGACTATATATTTTAAGATACTTCTTTCAGCTATGCCTAGCTAATAAAAGATCCAGCATTATTCTTTCAGCACCCTCTTATAATAACCCCTAGGCTGTTCCTTCTCTGCCACATTTTCCTCTCCTTATTTTCTATCTGACATACTGTTTATCTTCCTAAATCCAAATGCCAGTTATACTCAACTTAGCAAATAAGCAGTGCAATTAGAGTTCAGTGTTTTCAGCTTCTATATTTTCTTGGATTTATTCTTAAATCGGCAAATTTTTTTTTCCTCGAAATCTCTTAAGTCTTTGCAGAAACAAAGCCCTAACTAGTTTTGGGGCCAGCTAACTAAATTATGTAACTTCACTAACTACTGTGCTGTGATGGGCTGAATTACGTCCTTCCCCTCAAAATTATTATGTTTCAGTCCTAACACTTAATACCTCAGAAAGTGAGTGTATTTGGAGAGAAAGCCTTTAAAGAGGTGACTATGTTAAAACTGAGATCATTATGGTGGGCCCTAATCCAATAGGACTGGTGTCCTTATAAAAAGACGAGGTTAGGACACAGAATCAGAGGGAAGACCACGTGAAGAGAAGACACAGGGAGAAGGCCATCTATAAGTGAAAGAAAGAGAAAGGCCTCGAAGAAACCGACCCTACCAATACTGATGACAAATGTCTACTCTCCAGAACTGTGAGAAAATAAATTTCTGTTTAAGCCACACAATCTGTAGTACTTTGTTATGGCAGCCCGCACACTAATACAACTACTTAAAAATAAATACATAAATATTTCAAATGTATAGGGAGGGGTACAAATATTATAACACTTGTTTTTTCAATCTTATTCCTTTGCCATATTTTGTTTAAAAATAAAAAGACATAGTTGAAGTCGGTCCCTTCTTTTCCATCCCCAGTTTACATTCCCATTAACACTGGTGGGAGGGCTTATCATTTATTTCCTTGCCAACATTATCTCTGTTCAGATTTTTAATTTTGACTATTCCAAGTGTGATGAAGGTAAATGGAATTTTGTGATTTACTTTGCATTTTTCTGATTAGTAGTGAGGAAAGCTTCAACTCTGCTGCCTGTAAAGTATGCACAGTAATAGAATCTATCTTACAGAGCTCTAAAGATTACATGTTAAAATACGATAAATTCATGCAGGATGACACTGGTACAGTGCTAGTCATGAAACTATATCATGATTCTTCAACACATAAATATTGTTAATATTCTACGCACTCCCCTGTCATTGTTGAGTAGCTGTACCCTGTTTCTGTATATAAAATTCACCCAAGTTAGCTTAAACTCAACTCTTAAAATTTTGTCTTTTTAATTCTGTTTTGATGAACTATGTGTTTTTTCTTAGTTCTGATGGCACCCAGTTTCACTGGTCACATATTCCTCTCTGAAAAATCACTATGGTTACCAATTTCTATGCTCAATGTATTTCTTTTTTCAGATCATCTCTAGGTTTTTACAATTTTTTTCCCCTAAATTTAAAAGTCTGTGAATATGCATGTTTATGATCCATTTATGGTATATACATATATACAAAAGGAAGGGATATACTATATCATGGATACAAATTGGGCTACATCCCCAACACTGTTCATCAGTCAGGCCTTGTGAAACATGAAAACAAGAACATATCAAATTTAATCAGAGAGAGAGTACGTATATAGGCTCTTGATTCTAAGATGTTCACCTCATCTAGAGGCTAGAATCTAAGATGTTTATCTAATGCTGTAATGTATCAGCTACAAAGTGATCTATTCACAAGAACTCTAATAAAACTAAGACATATTTTATGAATAAGTATTTTTTTCTCTCAAGTTTCAAAAGAATCAATATGGGTCTTAGATATAGTCAAAGATTTATGTTCAACAAAGATTTATAATAGAGAAAAAAATAAAACACTTGTTGAATGAATGAACCCCAATGTCCAACAATAGGAAAATGGTTAAATACACCTAAATAATAGAATATTATATACTCAAAATTGTGCTTTCAAAGTATCATTTTGGCTGCCAGGTCTTGGCCGAGAGCTGCTCTCAGGTTTCAGATGCCGGGCAGCCACGATGTGCTCTGAGCCCACTTCCAAATGTGCTTGCTAGTCAAAATGTGGCATCCATCTCCCCAAGCTAAGACCTTAACTCCAGTAAACCCCAAAACTTCTTTGATGTGGACATCGGAGGTGAGCGAGTTGGTCAAATCGTGTTAGAATTGTTTGAAGATATTGTACTCAAAATTGCAGACAATGTTTGTGCATTGTATATTGGATAAAAAGGCATTGGAGCCACCACTGGGAAACCTCTCCATTTCAAAGGATGCCTGTTCCATCGCATTATTAAGGTATTTATAAGTCAGGGTGGAGACTTCTCAAATCAGAATGAGACAGGTGGAGAAAGCGTTATGGTGAAAAATTTGAAGATGAAAAATTCTATTATAAGCTGACCAGGAGGGTTTATTGAGCATGGCAAGTACAGGCTGCAATGCAAATGGTTCTCAGCTCTTTATCACTCCTCATTTGGATGGGAAACGTGATATTTGGCCAAGTAATTAAAGGGATTGGTGTGGCAAGAATTCTGGAAAACGTAGAAGTGAAAGGTGAAAAACCTGCCAAATTGTGCATTATTATAGAATGCAGAGAAATGAAGACAGGGGATGATTGGGGAATACTCCCAAAAGATGATTCTGGTCATCCAGATTTCCCCAAGGATGCAGATATAGATTTAAAAGATGTAGATAAAATATTATTAATAACAAGATTTAAAACACACTGCAAATACTATTTTCAAATCCCAGAACCGGGAGATGGCTATGAAAAAATATACAAAAGTTTCAGGGTACGTGGAAGGTTAAAAGGCTGCTATTGAAAAAGCAGATATAGATTGAAGATGCAACCTGTAGCTTTAAGCTGCATGCTGAATACTGGTGCTTGGAAACTGAAGATGTCAAATTGGCAAGGGGCAACTGACAAGCTGTTTGGAAACTCTTGAAACAGACCCATCAAATACCAAAGCACTGTACCATAGAGCTCAAGAATAGCAAGGATTAAAAGAATACCATCAAGCAGTGGCTGATCTTAAGACAAGCCCAGGAGACAGCACCAGAATATAAAGCTATCCAGGCAGCATTGCTGAAAGTCGGGCAGAAGATAAAGGCACAGAAAGACAAGAGAAGACAAGACAGCATATGCAAAAATATTTGCTTAATAAAGAATTCAGTTTTGCTTAAATATTATACACTGAGTGTATAAAGGCAATAAGAAAATTTAAGGGGTTTTGTTTATTATATATAATCCCTAATGTGTATCCTTTGATACTTCAGTTCCCCATAGAGTTCGGGAATACTCATATGGGTCCACTCTTATTACAAGTGTTAGAAAATTTAAAAAAAATCATTTTTAACTAATATTAAGTAAAAAAGGAAGATATAGAACTTTATAATACAATATGATAATTTTGTGGGAAAATATAAAAGCAGAAGAAAAAACTGGAAAACTATGGCCAAATGTTAACCGTGTTTTATCTTTGGGTGGTAGGATTATGGCAGCATTTATACTTTCCTGTGTTTAAGTTATCTACACTAAGCAGGTACTACTTTAATAATCAACAAAAATTAATAAATGCCTTTGGGTAAAAAAGATGACTATAAATATATATGATGACTCTAAGTGCAGAAACTCACCCATGTGCAACAGCAAAACTTATCTCTTTACACATTAATGGTTTGCTTGGCTGGATATTCTAGAGCCATTGTTGCTCAGGTTTTTTCTTAAGGCCTCAATGTTTCCTCTGCATCATATAGAGCAGGTGGTGTTCATTATCCAAGTATGTCAGTCCTTATGCAGAGACCATATAAGTATTTAGAGTAAATACTAAGCAAGAATTAATGTCTAGTTTAATAATGCAGAGAAAAAACAATTAAAGAAATTATGAATTAATATTATAGTTATACTTCTATATATAATAAATAACAATTTGTACCCTTAAGACATATATGCCTTTATTATGACTCACTTGTGAAAATCCAGACTCATCCTGGGACCCTTCCAAAAAATATTCAACATGTGATATCAAATATACTCTTCAGTATTAAGTTTTATAATACCTATTATTTACTTACATTAGAAGGAAAAAGAGCTTAGTTTTTTTTTTTTAAAGGACTGAAATGGATAATGATAATACAAATAGGGCTTAATTACTCAAGCTATTTAGTAGTATTTCCTAATACAGGACATTGGC